CAAACAAGATACATTTCTAGCCCTTGTGGCATTACAGTCTAATGAGAGAAAGGGATATTGCACAATCATATATGTAGAATAGGAGCTCTGGTAGCATAGTGCCTAAGGCACTTGACTGCTCACCAGCAGGCTGGCAGTTCAAACCCACCAGCCACTCCTTGGAAGGAAGGTTGGGCAATCCTACTTCCATAGTGATACTGCCTCGGAAACCCAAGGAGGGGTCGCTATGAGTCAGGGCCGACTCGATGGCAAACAGCAACAATAACATATGTAGAATAAGGGATATCATAACTGATGTCAGATGGATCTAGGCTGAAACAAAGAATATAGAAAGATGTTTACCTGTGTTCTGTTGATGATGCAAAGACATTTGACTGTGTGCATAACAAACTATGGAAAACACTGTGAAGAAGGAAAACTCCAGAACATTTAATTGTGCTCAGAAGGAATCTGTACCTAGACCAAGACACTGTTATTTGAACAGAACAAGGGGATACTTCATAGTTTAAAATTAGGAAGGGTGTGTATCAGAGTTGTATTCTTTCACCATACTTATTCAATCTGTGTGCTGAGCAAATAACCCAAGAAGCTGGACTATATGAAGAAGAATATAGCACCAGGGTAAGAGGAAGGTGCATTAACAACCTGCAACATGCAGATGACACAACTTTGCTTGCTGAAACTTAAGAAGACTTGAAGGACTTCCTGATGAAGATCATAGATTACAACCTTCAGTATGAATTACACCTCAACATAAAGAAAACAAAAATCCTCACAATTGAACCAATAAGCAACATATGGAGTGAGGATTGATGTTGCCAAGGATTTCATTTGACTTGGATTCACAATTAATGCTTATGGAAGCAGCCATCAAGAAATCAGAGGACATATTGCACTAGCCAAATCTGCTGCAAAAGATCTTAAAGAGCAAAGATGCCACTTTGAAGACTAAGATGTGCCTTATCTAAGCCATGTATTTTCAATAGCCTCATATGAATCTAAAAGCTGGACCATGAATAAGGAAGACCAGAAAAGAATTGATACATTTGAAGCTGGTGAAGAATATTGAAAATACCATGGAATGCCAGAAGAATGAACAAATCTGTCTTGGAGGAAGTACTGCCAGAATGCTCATTAGAAGGGAGAATGACCACACTTCATTTCACCTACTTTGGTCATGTTGTCAGAGGAACCATCAGTCTCTAGAGAAGGACATCATGCTTGGTAGTAGAGGGTCAGCAAAAAAAAAAATGGGAAAACATCAATGAGATGGATTGACACAGTGGCTGCAATGATGGGCTCAAGCATAGCAAGGATTGTGAGGAATGAGTGGGATGGGGCAGGGTTTTGTTCTGTTGTACATAGGGTCACCGCTGTGAGCCAGAGCTGACTCTATTGCACCTAACAACAACGACAACAACAACATATATATAAAGACAACATTTGGTAAATGCTATGGGGGAAGAATTGAATGTTAGGTTAAAGAAAAGGATCTACTTCCACTACAGGATCAGGTATGGCCTTCCCTAGGAAGGGACATTTGACCTGAGGTCATCTTTCCTCTCTGTGGTAGTTAAGGTTATGTGTCAACTTGGCCTGGTTTTGAGTGGTTGAGCAGTGGGATGTAGTTATTCCCCATGGTGAGACTGGTAGTCAACTCAATGGTAGAATCTACTATGATCAGCTAAGTAAATGTCTTAGGGATGTGGTCTGCTTCCAGTATAGAAGAAGACACTTTGAGAAAAGTCTCTGAGCTTCTTGGCACATATGGATCTTTCATTTGGTTGAGGTTATCAGTGAGTGGCCTGCCATGTTGTCTTGGAACTGTTTCTGGACTTGAATGAGTGGCATGGCATTTTGCTTGATAATCTTTAGCCTGTGCCATTTTATTTGTCGACCTTGGGCTTGTCAGCCTCAGAGCCAGCAGCTGCCTGAGTTAAGAGATGCCTCCAGTGCCAATGGGTCAGGTCAAGAGGCAGAGCTGAAGCCCAAGGTCAAGGGGCCTTCACCCAGCCCCTAGAGCCAGCACTTTGAACTTAGACTTGAAGCTTGCAAAACTGTAAGAGAATAAACCCCTGTTTGTTAAAACCAGCCATTTGTGATATTTTCTGTTAGAGCAGTACCGTAGAACCAAAATACTCTCTAATTCAAAAGTCTCTTTGAATGATCACAACTTTCCATCCTGTGACTTATATTGCTGAGAAAAGTCAATTTCTAAGTCTAGACCATGTGTTTCTAACTGAAATGGTATCACCCCAAGGGGGCAAAATTGGTTTTGGAGAGGTGACAAATATGACTTTTTTTGTGTATAAAGCATAGATGTACATAAAGTGTATAAACAGGTATATAATACATATGTGATATTAAAATTTCATGGAGGAGGGCAATGATTACAAAAAAATCTATAAAACTCCTTAAGGAGCAGTAATGAAAAAAATGTTGAGAAACACTTGTGCAGAGTTTCTCAGACTCCATCCAATGCTCACTCAAAAATAGTTATCAAATGACTACCTTGAGGAAAGAATAATAAGAGGCAAAGAGGATATAAGGATGGATAAGACAAACTTAGGTCCTAGGTTAGTAGAGGGGAAAGCTGCAAAAACAAGTATGAAATTAGAGCAAACAGTTACAAATTTTGATAAATGTGAAAAAGCACATAGGTGCCAGAAACAGGAAATAATAAGGTAGGGCTCTCTGAATGCAAATCAGGGGAGACCTCTCTGAAAGGCTCTGGTTTATTTGTATGCTTGTACAGATCTTGTTGGGGGTTGGGGCAGACCCTTTTGCTGATCTGAAAATTTCTATCATTTTTCATTTTTGCACCTTCATGTCAACTTTCACTTAATGTCAAAAAGGCTTTTTTTTTTTTTTAATCTGCATTGACACATTGACTATGTGGTCCACTCCCTGTAACATCAGCAGGTCATCACACTTATCATGTGAGTCTGTGTTAGGCGCCTCATGAGGAACTAAAGGCTGTATGAATTTGGTTAATGAAAGGGTTGTCCATTTTCAAAATGAAGAAAAATGTATTTGAATCTTAGGAAATCCACAGGTTGGCATTTTCAGAAAACCTATGGACAGTCTTGAAGATGTTTCTCTCGGGAGCCCTGTCTTGTGGGAAGGAGACTCCCAACAGCTAAAATTCATAACTGCCAGAATTGAAACATGAGCAGCTTTTCAGAAGGCAGTTACATTTTCAGAACCCAAGGCAGGATATGATGCTAAGTTCTGCTATTTCCTCTTTTCTAATTCTTGCAGATCTCACCTGAACAGCAGCTTCCAGTCCACTTCTTTGGATGGCTTTTGGTGACACAGACTTTCTCCATCCTCAAACGGGCCAGGTCTCCATGCTTCTGCTGCTGTTGCTGCTGATCCTGGGTGAGTAGATGGACCGAGCAGGGCCAGTGGCCTTACTCCTTAGATATTTCAGAGGAAAAGTCAGGAAGCTTCTGTTTTTGCTTCCACTCAGACTTTCAGAGATAGACTGCGAGAGATGGAAATTGAGCAGAGCAGGAAAACCAAAAATTTCCAAATGCAAACACCAGGACAAACCAAGTATGTTTGTTACCGTTTGTTTCTCACTCATTTCTTTTTCAGTCTCATAGCAAACTTGAATTTTTCTTCCTGACAAACCACTACTCTACCTCCCTCCCTATGTCCCAGCTTCAAACTAAAATTTTCAGATAAACAGTTAATTCCAAAATTTAGGTGCGGCAGTAAGATCTATTGAGAAATATGACTCTCTTGCCCCAATTTTAAGCCAAAATCTAACCAGAGGCTGAAAAAGAAGGAGCAACAACACCCAAGAAATGAAGGATGGATAAACCATTTTTCCAAGCCCTTCTCTGCCTCTGCACTGCTGATTTCAGGCTGGAGAGAAGAAGAGGGGATCAAGTATAAAGCCACTGAGAATGGAATAACAAAAAGATGGCACAAGCTATTACATATTTATAAAATACATTTTAATTGATTAACTAATTTTGCTTGGGGGTTATGGGTGGTGCAGAATGGGAGTGAAGAAATAGTGAAGAAAAACTCAAGAAGAAGTTGTGGCTGTTTTACTAGGAAATTTCTGAGAGTTTTTAAATGTAGAAGTTTGAGAAACACTGCTTTGTGCTAAGCATTGATTCTTGGCTCCTTTGCAGCTCCTGATGGTGGACAAGCTGGTGAGTTTCCCCTTCTCTCTCTTCCTCATTGTCTCTGGGCATTGGTCACCTCAGCCAGCACCACTAGTCCCAGCCCTTGTAGATGAGAGCTGCCAGGATGTACCAACAGCAATGGTGTTGCTAGTCTGAAGGCACACTTGGTACTTTGCTGGACTAGTAGATCCTCCCCTGACTCCTCCAGCTCCCTGTTCTTTTCCCATTACAGTGATATTTCAGTGTAAAGAAGCATGACACATCCACAGAAGAAAAGGCAGATGGGTGATATTGAGAGAGCTTCAGATTTGACCTCTCGTGTACCCTGAGGCATCTCTCTCTGTATGTCCAAGCTAGTTGCAGCTTTCAAGGGACATGGAAATTATTCCCATTTGTAGAAGAAAATTCTATAGCCAAATCCTTATGCACATTCAAAAGGAACTTATGTTATTGTCACACCTCTATGTCCAGGTCCATCAGTCAGTTGCAGTTCTATACACCAGTCTGATTTCTCAAGCAGCTCAGACTCCTTCATTAAAATTCATTGTATCCCTCAATTATTAATCATGTTCAACTTAGTTGTAGACTGGAGAGAAGTTGCCTTCCCCATAGAATTTTCAACTAAGCAAGGTTTAAAAGTAATGCAAGTGAAAAAATAATAATTTCACATTAAATGTTAACAACCAAGTAGACGTGGTTTGCTAGAGCCTAGAAATGCTTCTAAAGTATGCCTAGCTCAGGTTCACCCTTATCCTGACAGGAATATACTGGACAATATTATTTCAGAATCAGTTTACCTGTTGAGGCCCCACAGTGTTTGTCCCACTACAAATCATATTCCTTGGGCTTTTCTGAGCTATGAATAAGGACCTGAGGCTTATTTCCTATATGACCTACCTGCCCACTTCCAGGCAGGACATAGGAGGAAGAGGTACAGATTTTGTCCCAGGCATTTCCCCAGGTTGGTTCTGCTCAGTTTCCAACCTAGTGCTGACTTGGAATTAGACCAGGCAGATTCACCACTACAAAGCTGGGCCCTTCTCTGTTCTGTATCCACTCCCCATTCACTTTCACCTGCCTCCATCTTTCTTTTCCTGTTTAGGAGCAGCTCCAAAAGCTGTGGTTCTTCTCCACCCTCCATGGTCCGTGGCCTTCAAAGGAGAGACAGTGGAGCTCACATGCCAAGGACCTGACTCCCCATCTTTGGGAGACACATATTGGTATCATAAGGAGAATTTGTTGAAAATGAAATCTGAAACAATCAAAATAAAACATTCTGGAGAGTACCAGTGCAAGACTAGAGGATCCTCTCTCAGTGACCCCGTGAATGTAGTCTTTTCTTCTGGTGAGGAAAGAAAGGGAGAGTCTTTGAAGTCTGAGTGGGCAAAGTGGGGGCTGGATTAATTCAGGGAGCCTAAATAGAGTTATAAACAGGCATAGGGATATTCCATATGCTGACTCATGGGAATGAGATAGGACAGCAGCAGGACATAACATTACCCATCCAGAGAATTGTTGGCAACCCATTGGCCACCAGGTCCAAAAGAGACCTGAGTCTGAAGAAAACTAGGTGATAAAATTTCCCTTTTGTATGAGGAATTCTGGGTAGCACAAATGTTTAAGCACTCAGCCATGAATAAAAAGGATGATGTTCCAACTACCCAGAAGTGCCTCAGAAGAAAGACCTGACAACCTACTTCTTAAATGTCAAAGCTGTGAAAACTCTATGGACCACAGTACTACTCTGACAACAGTTTGACTCAACAGAAAGCAACAACAACAACATGGGGATCTTTTAAGGGTATTTTCTGGAAATCAGTCCATTCAAGGAAGAATTTGGCACTGAGCTCACGTGGAAATGTGGGAGATGATATTTTCAGGCATGTACAGGGCTGTAGCTCTTCCTTCAATGGGCAGAAGTGAGAAAGAAGCAGCAAGGGATCAACTGAGTGTATTCTTCCAATCTCTTTGCAGATTGGCTGATCCTCCAGGCTTCACAACCCGTATTTGAAGGAGATGATGTGTATCTGAGATGCCGGGGGAGAAAGGACTATAAAATTCTTGAAAGGTCTTACTACAAAGATGAAGAAGAACTTGATCAGTATAAAAATGTAGATGCCATCACATTATATTCTATCTCTATGGACAATGGTGAATATCATTGTACTGCTTCTGGGATAACCGTTTTGAGATGGACAGAACATTCAAATCATCTAAGGATCCAAGTTCATGGTAATAGATACACTTCTGTGGGTAATAGGGCTCAGCAGGGAAATGCTATGTGAAGATTGAGTGAGAGAGCTCATTAGTGGGGATTTCATGAAAAGGCTCATAATCCAGCCATGGTATGGAGATGGGAGGTGGTTCCATCCCCATGGTTCTCTTTTTCTCCTGATGGCCAATATTGAGAACACAGGTGGTTCTCTCCAGGAGTTCTGAGCCTCACTATCCTGGAAATTATGTTTGCTCTTCTCTCTAGAGTTGTTTCCACCTCCTAAGCTGAGAGCCATACCCTCCAATCCCATTGAGGGGAGCCCCGTGGCCCTGAAATGTGAGACTTGGATCCATCCACAGAGGTCACACACCCAACTTCAATTCTGCTTCTTCAGAGGAGATCAGATCCTGGGAGAAGGCTGGAGCACATCCCCACAGCTCCAGATCCCCACCATGTGGAATGAAAATTCAAGATCTTACTGGTGTATGGCACAGACAGACAGGATAAAAAAGAGGAGCTCCCTATCTCAGATTCCTGTGCAGAGTAAGTGTCCATGGAGCTTCTCATCCAGAGTTAGAATTGGGAAGAAAACATCTCCTGTCCTCTGGGATGGTGACAAAACAAAGAGGAACTTCTAACTCTCCTAGTATCCTTCCCTCTTTAGGTTCAACATTGACCTAACTTCCCTAGAACATCATTTTCCACCTAAGTCAGATAATAGCAGTTACAGATCACTGACTAGTCCAACCCTGTGGGAGTTACAGAGACATACAGGACATGTGCTCTGGTGAGTCAGCAACTGGAAGCACAGCTGACCACATGTAGTCTTTAGAGGTCACAATGGTACTTCTATTTGTGGACATAAATGTAAACCAAAACAAAAGGAAAAGAGAGAGATGAGTATGAACTAGAAGTAGAACTGGAGAAGAATGTTAGGAAATGTAGGTGGGACTACAGAAGACTCTTGAAGGATAGGAGGGGAATGTGGATTCTGAACAGGGTCATTTCAGGTTGGGGCAACATCCTCAGTGTTCCATCTTATTCCACAGTCCACTGATGCATTGCAGATTCCTTAGTGATAAATGCTCATAAAATGCAACTGGAATCAACATTAGGTTTAGGAAGATCATGGAGTTGGTGCCCACATTTTCCAAGGATGGGAATTGTGTGTGCATTTTTGGAAGGGGGTGGGGTGTTGCTCCCTTATAGTAATATGCACAATTGATTCTGTATTTCTTATTTTCAACTCTTGCCTATTGCATTTGCTACCATCCATCTACCTCTGAATAGCACCAGTGTCCTCCTTGGCTGCAAAGACCCTCCCACTGGGAACCTCACAAGTTACCTTTTGTTCTCCAGGAATTCCTGTGTCTGATGTGAATCTAGAGATCCGGCCCCCTGGGGGACAAGTGATTGAAGGGGAAGATCTGGTCCTTATCTGTTCCGTAGCCAAGGGTACAGGTACTATCACATTTTCCTGGTACAAGGAGGGTACAGTAAATCTAGGAAGAAAGACCACGCGTTCCTTGTGGGCAGAACTGCCAGTACCCAATGTGAAGGAATGTGATACCGGCAAATACTACTGTACAGCTGACAACGTTCATGGCCCCATCCTCAGCAAGTGGATTGTAGTCACCGTGATAGGTAAGTTATCACGCCTCTTACTCAGCCTGTGGTTCTCAAACCAAGGTGTAGCACTCTCTTAACCATGAAGATCTTCAGAAGGAGGCAGAAGAACAGAGATGTGAAGATTTAAAAGCTGTCTGACCAATGGCAGTGAGAAGGCTGGCAAAATAAGGTGACATTTTACTTCTTGTGGAAGAGATTAAGTAGTGATGAAAACAAAATTCCAAATTACCCAGAATTACTCCTCAAATTTTTATAAAAATCTTTCTGATTATTAGATGTGGAAAGTGTGGTCAGTGGGAAACAAACGATCTGAGATGTGTCATTTCTAGGCTCCTTTAGGAGCTCTGGTGGTGTACTGCCTATAGCATTTGACTACTGACCAGAAGGCTGGCAGTTTAAACCCACCAGCCACTCCTTGGAAGAAGGTTGGGCAATCTGCTTCCATAGTGATGTTGTTGTTGTTATGTGCCGTTGAGTCAGCCCCAACTCATAGCCACCCCTCCTTGGGTTTCTGAGGCAGTATCACTATGGAAGTAGATTGCCCAACTTTCCTTCTGAGGAGTGGCTGGTGGGTTTGAACCACCAGCCTTCTGGTTAGCAGTCAAGTGCCTTAGGCACTATGCTACCAGAGCTCCTAGTGATACTGCCTCAGAAACCCAAAGATGGATTGCTATGAGTCGGGTCCAACTCCACAGCAGTGAGTATTGTTTTTTTTTTTTTTTTTTTTTTGGAGTTATGAATCCATCACAGGATCAGAGACCATCTCTGACAGTCCCCTTTTTTCTATCAGTTCCAGTGTCTCAGCCAGTCCTCACCCTCTGGACTCCCAGGGCCCAGCCTGTAGTGGGGGACATGGTAGAGCTTCACTGTGAGGCCCAGAGAGGCTCACCCCCAATCCTGTACAAGTTTTATCAGGAGGATGTCACACTGGGGAACAGCTCAGGCCTTTCTGGAGGAGCATCCCTCAACTTGTCTCTGGCTGCAGAACATTCTGGGAGCTATTCTTGTGAAGCTGAGAATGACCTGAGGGTCCAGCGCAGTCACAAAGTGACACTCAATATCATAAGTAAGTAGGATATGCCTACAGCAATTATAGCGAAGAATAGACTATGTCTTCTCACAAACAGAGCTCCACTGGTCTGTTTATTTGTGTGACATCTCAGCAAATACCTACTTTCTCTACTTTCACCTGGGAGTTCTAGATACTCCCTTGTAGCTACATGTTCAGTAATTTAGACTCCTCCTTTATTTCCTCTACCATTGTTATCAACAGCCACATGATCCACACAGTCTTTCTAGTAGAAGCACAAAGACCTTCTAAAATACCAGAAGATATATAATGGTTCAGCAATTACTGACAAAGGAGCTGAATCCTACAAAGATAATTTCATCTGAATTCCTTTATCTGGGAACAAATGATTGGACAATTTCTTGCAAAGTTTTTCTGCCCCTACCTCCAGTCAATCTAAATTCCTTCTTCATTTCCTGGACTGCTAAGCAAAGTGTCTCTCCTTGTGGACACACACAGCTATCAGACCAGCAAGGATTTTCATAGTTTCCAGATTCTAATGACCTGCCTGGCCTTCTCAGTTTCTCCAAATGATTCTAGAAGACTTCCTGAGTGCTAGAGTCTCATATAATCTGATATTCTCAGAGTACCCAGACAAAAATTTTCACGAGGGACACTAAGCCATCTCATATTTTCTACTTCCAGCCCATGTTGGCAATTAACAATATGCCCAGACATGCAGGAGATAGCCTCAGTACAAGCCCTGATTATTACAAGGTGCATTTGGAGGGTGGTTGCTATTGAGTCAGAGCTGACTCATAACCACCCCTCCTTGAGTTTCCAAGGTGGTATCACTACGGTAGTAGATTGCCCAACCTTCCTTCCGAGGAGTAGCTGGTGGGTTTGAAATGCCAGCCTTCTGGTTAGCAGTCCAATGCCTCAGGCACTAGGCTACCAGAGCTCCCATGATGTGCTAAGGCAAAGAAGGAGATAGAAGCTCAAAAGAGATAGAGATGACTCCCAAAGACTCAAATCCTCACAGTCTCTAGGTTTGGCCTTGTCTTCTTGCTTTCCAACTATTCTAAACTATTTAGATACTTATGACTTCTTGCTTAACTGGCCCTTCCTATGGCTAAATTTTGGCAACAACTTATGAAGGCATTGGAAACTGAGAGTTCCAGATGGGACACTAACCAGGATCCCAGTTTTGACCATGAAATTATCTAGTTATTTGATCTTGAACAAGTCTCTTTACTAATCTTGACCTTCATTTCCTCATTTGTAAGTTAACTGAACCAAGAAGATCAATGAGGTCCAAACATTTTTTTTTTTTGAGAGCTTGTTTTACAATCAACATTACCTTTACATTTAGTTTAATTCCCCATTTACCAAGTCCAACACTACCCTGTCTACTCCCCTCTTTACCCTGTAACCCTTCCCCTGTGCCCCTCATATTTATTTACTCCTGTTTGTCCTGCATTTCCTCAACTTGAATGTTGGTCCTCTGGTGTCCCATGGTCTATTGCTTTAAGGATTGCATTACCACAGAGTATGTGGGTGTGTCATCCTGGGTTGAGTGGTCTGTGTGTACATCTTGTTAGCTATTGGGCTGACAGCCAGCCCCTGGGGGTGTGTTTTATTCCAGGTGCAGAGTGTATTCCAGGGCCATATTATTGGGGAATCTCACCAGATTTCAACTGACCAGTAATTCTGGTTATTATAGAGTTTTTGGATTTTGTTCCACTTTTTCCCTCCCACTCTATCCAGGATCTCCAGATTTGATCTTTTCCTGAGTGGCTGGCACTGGTAGCCAGGCACCATCTAGTTCTTCTGGTCTCTAGGGCCATTGTGTCCTATGGCTGATTGCTTCCAAGTGCCTTTTGTGTGTGTGTTCTTCTTCACTTTTGATGCTAGGAGACTGTTAGCTGCATCTTAGATGGCTGCTTGAAAACTTTTAAGACCCAGTCACTACTCACCAATGTAGGATGCGGAGCAAGGCTTTTATGTATTTTGTTGTGCCAATTGAGTCTGGTGCCCCCAGTACTATGGTCCTGAGGCAGTAGATCTATTGAATCTCCCTCCCATAGTGTCTGGTTGTCTGTGAGGGATAACTCTGTGTCTGTCTTCTATTGTTTCTGTAAGGACTGCAGGTATTTTGTATCACTGGTGTCTGTGCAAGATTAGCCTCAGCTGAATCTATCCTTGGGCTACAGTATACTTCTGTTCACTGACCCCCATCTGATCCTCTCAGGTGTTTACGTGTTTATCTGTAGCCTGGTGTTTGGTGTTAATGGTATTGTGGACACATTGGTTGGTATTAGCATCTGTCTTCTATCTCTTATGTGCACAATTTGGTGTCCTCCCATTTCCTAATGTTATCATGGTGGTCACAGATCCTTCCCGTTATCCCTCCCCCTACCCAAGTCAGCATGTGGGCCCCAACTAGCCCAAAATTAATCCTCCCCTTCCCTCACCATCCCAGTAACTTACTAAGATAGTTCCCTTTCCCAAACAAACCTTTCTCAGCTTTTTACAGTAATAGGCTCATACAGTACTTGTCTTTCTGCAATTGACTTATTTCACTCAGCATAATGTCCTCTAGGTTCATCCACATTGTGAGATGATTCACGTATCCCTCATTGTTCTTTAATGTAGCATAGTATTCCATTGTGTGGATATACCATAATTTGGTTATCCACTCATCTATTGATGGGCATTTAGGTTGTTTCCATCTCTTTGGTATAGTGAATTGTGCTGCGATGAACATAGGTGTATGTATGTCTGTTCGTGTGCTATCTCTCACCTCTTTAGGATATATTCCTAGCAATGGAATTGCTGTGTCAAATGGTACTTCTATTTTCAGTTTAAGGAAATGCCATACTGTTTGCCATCATGGTTGTATCAATTTACAATCCCACCAGCAGTGCACAAGAGTTCAAATCTCTCTGCAACCTGCCCAGCATTTCTGACCTGTTGAACTTTGCTATTATTGCCAGGGTGAGATGATATCTCATTGTTTTGATTTACATCTCTCTAATGATTAATGAGGAGCTCTGGTAGCATAGTGGCTAAGTCACTTGCCTGCTAACCAGACGGCTGGTGGTTCAAACCCACCAGCCACTCCTCGGAAGGAAGGTTGGGCAATCCTACTTCCGTAGTGATACTGCCTCAAAAACCCAAGGAGGGGTCGCTATGAGTCGGGGCCGACTCGACGGCACACAACAACAACAACAACAATGATTAATGATCATGAGCAATTTCTCATGTGTTTGCTGGCTTCCTGTATATGTTCTTTGGTGAAGTGTCTGTTTAAGTCTTTTGCCCACTTATGAATTGGGTTATTTGTCTTTTTGGTGTTGAGGGTTGAAGTTTTCCATAGATTTTGGAGATAAGTCCTTTATCAGATATGTCATAAGCAAATATTTTCTCCCAATCTGTAGGTTCTCTTTTTAACCTTTTGATGAAGTCTTTGGATGCACATAAGACTTTAATTTTTAAAAGGTCCCAGTCATCTAGCTTCTCTTCTATCTCCTGCACATTCTGGGTTATGCTTGATAGTCTATTTATGCTGTAAATTAGGGCTTCCAGATTTGGCCCTATTTTTATCTTTGATAAATTTTATAGTTTTGGGTTTTACATTTAAGTCTTTGATCCAGCTTGAGTTTGTTTTTATGTATGGTGCGAGGTATGGGTCTTGTTTCATTTTTCTACAGGTGGATATCCAGTTTTGCCAGCACCATTTGTTAAAGAGGCTGTCTCTTCCCCATTTAATGGATTTTGGATCTTTGTCAAAGATCAGTGGTCCATAGATGGATGGGTCTATATCTGGACTTTCAATTCTGTTCCATTGGTCTATCTGTCTATCATTGTACCAATACCATACTATACTATGTGGCTGTATAGTAGTTCTTAAGATCTGGTAATGTGACACCTCCCACTTTGTTTTTCTTCTTGAGAAGTGCTCTGCTTATCCGAGGTCTCTTTCCTTTCCATATGAAATTAGTAGTTAGTTTTTCCATATCCTCAAACAATTTTGTTGAAATCTGGATCAGGATTGCATTAAATGTGTAAATTGCTTTAGATAGTATTGACATTTTCACAATATTCAATCTACCTATCTATGAACAAGGTATACGTTCTTCCCTTTATGTAGTGCCCTTGCTGTCTATTAGCACAGTGTTTTATAGTTTTCTTTGTATAGGTCTTTTGTGTCTCTGGTGAGGTTTATTTCTAGATATTTTATCTTTTTAGTAGCTATAGTAAATGGTATTGTTTCTCTTATTTCTTTATCAGAGGACTCTGTTGGTGTAGAGGAATCCAACTAATCTTTGTATGTTGACCTTGTATCCTGCCACTTTTCTGAACCTCTCTACTAGTTCCAGCATTTTTTTTATTGAGTCCCTTGGGTTTTCTATGCACAGGATCATATCATCTGCAGATAGAGATAGTTTTAGTTCCTCTTTTCCAGTTTGTGTGCATTTTATTTCTCTTTTTGCCTTATTGCCCTGGCCAGGACTTCCAATACAATGTTAAATAGAAGTGGTGATAGAGGGCACCCCCGTCTGGTTCCTGATCATAAGGGTAATGCTTTGAGTCTTTCTCTATTAATAATGATGTTGGCCATTGGCTTTGCATATATACCCTTTATTATGTGAGGAATTTCCCTTCTATCCCCATTTTGCTGAGAGTTTGGAACAGGAATAGATATTGGATTTTATCAAATGCCTTTTCTGCATCGACTGATATAACCATATGATTCTTTTGTTTTTGTTTGTTTATGCGGTGGATTACATTGGTTGATTTTCTGATGTTGAACTACCCTTGTAAACCTAGTATGAATCCCACTTGGTCTGGGTATATTAATTTTTTAATATGTTGTTGGATTCTGTTGGCTAGGATTTTGTTAAAGATTTTTGCATCTATGTTCATGAGGGATACTGATCTGTAGTTTTCTTTTCTAGTGATGTCTTTCCCTGGTTTTGGTATTAGTGTTATGCTTGCATCATAAAATGAGTTGGGGAGTATTCCATCTTTTTCTATGTTCTAGAATAGCTTGA